GCTACCTCCGGGGCATAAAAATGGATCCATCGTATCTGTGTAGAGTCCTTCGGTCACTAAGTTGAAGCAAATTATGACATTCTAGATATTAGTAAATGGTGCATTGTCGACATCAGGGTGTCAGCCAAATCCAATTGACATTCCATTGGTGATACGTTGCTGATTCATTTGTAATTAACAATGTGACATTAATCGTGTGTTCCTGTACTCCCCATCTTTGAGAACCTAGTCAACATGAAACGAGAAATCCAGCATAGAAATAGGAGAAGACTTCTTCGGGCATTTTTACTCCGAAATGCAAATAGAATGTCATGGTATGTCAAGTCATGGTGTCAAGTATGGACCAATAGACACAGACTTTACAGTCATTTGAAGTTTCATTACTTAAAAGATGCGTTTCTATTCCACAAGAGTCATGTGCGTGTGGGAATAAATAAATGAATCGTACATTCATCAACAATACGAGGCACAGTAAAACCGAGTGGTTTGATCAATAGGATAGAAGAGTTGCTAAGTTTAGGCATTAGGAGTATAACTAGCTAGCGGCAGTAACGTGTAAAGCAGTGGGTAGTGAGCGGCGCTAGATCACACCTAGTAACTTACTTACGATGGTCGTTGCCGTCCCCCGTAGCTCAGTGGTTTCAACCACGGACTGGCAACAGTCGAGTGGCGGGTTGGAGCCCTACCAGGATCCGATGGAATGCGCATAGCTGACGATTCCCGAAAGGATGAAACGCGCGTACAGTGCTTCTCCGGACGTGTGACGGCTGTCTAAGTGAGTCTAGGTGTGAGGAATTTCTACCTATACCATTCAACTCCCCTTACTAGTTTTCTGAAAACACATTTGCAGTACGTTTACAGCCTTCAAGCAAGACCTATCAGAAATTGATTAGGGACACTGGAATATTGAGCGATAGGTGAGGATACCAAACAATAATCCAATCGACGAAGTTACCATTAGCTCATCTGAAGGATCCCATTCCTACAGATAACATAGCTGCCTGTGGACAGATACGTATTGTAAAGACTGAACACAAGTGCAAATGAGCATTATCTTAAGAATACACGCAAAAGACGCGAGACAAGAGCGCAATGCTAGGAGGTTCGGTGTTAGCGGTAAATGCATTTAGTCTACAGTAGCAGTTCAGATTGGGGCATGACAGAATCGTCAGAGGCGGATTGTAGGTAACACGAAAATGGCTAATTGCAGGAGCAGTGGAAAACGACAAAAAACAACTGTGAATGGAATTGTTGGGGTAGAGCAGATCAGTTAAACAACTATGAGCGTTGAAGTGCAGTGGATCAAGTTGCCGTGAATCGGGTAGCCAGGATAACAGTAGACAACAATAGTGACAAAATGAAGTAGAACGCAAGTAGAATACAAAGAAAAGAGAGGTAAGAAAAAGGAGTCAACTTAACCGGGATGGAATTTTAACAGTTCTAGGCAAAAAAACCGAATGCAGGAGTGCTACTGGTTGCGTCAAGTTCGATAGGGACCACAAGCACTGATGTGCAGAAGCCCGAGGCCCCCACCAAAGAAGACAGTAAGTGCCAACTTCACCGCGTTTCAGTTAATTTATTCACACATAAGCCACGTCACCGACCGGGCACCTCGCAGTTTCGCTCAACTAGGTGCGGCGACAGCATACAAAGTACACTGAGGTAACCCCACCTATGAGAAGAGCGCCGCAGACGCCGGGGAACAAAGACGACCGCGTTGAAAGTATGAAGTATTTGCTGAATCATGAAGTCCTAGACATTTGCACAGCAGCTGGTTTCAAACTAAAGATAGCAGTATCATCCGAGCACCGCGAATATGACAGTCTGGCATCCAACAGCACCCCTAGTTAAGGAAAGTGGAAAGACAATTCAGATATGTCGACCGACATATCTGAATTGTCGGCTCATTGCGACGAACAAAATTACTCACCAAAATCCTTCCATTCATAAGTAAAAGTGGAAAGAGGTGGGAGAAGTATTGATAACTAGAGGCAGGGTGAATTTAACGTATTCTATTTGTCGTGCTGAGGTCAGGAGATATATTCCCACAGACCCTAACCCAGTCACGGGAACAGTATTAGGAAGCTGGAATCGAGAGTAGCGACTGAGCGATGCAGCAGCACAAACAACAGCGATCGAGGGAATCAATGGCGAGATTGAAGCAAAGTAAGATTGCTATATGTTATGGGGACCCAAAGTTATAATTATTACAGGCTTAAATTACGAAAGGCTGAAAACCCGATTCACACAAGTGCACATGTACTCGGATCAGACAAAACGCACACGTTCAATCAGCCTTCCAACTAATGAAACATTCACACTCGTTTAGCCTTTGCACCCAGAAACAGTCTCGTTTCTAACCAAACACTGATTGTTGTATTCAAGCAACATTTATTTTCCGGACAACTCTCGCCAAACTTCCAACATTCCTGCTCAGTTTACGGACTTTGCATATTTACATAAAACCATGTTTCCTGCTTCCAGGGTTTGCTTACGCAAACCTTTTCCAAGGGAAAACCCCCATCATCACCGTTTCGTGACATAAAAATGAGGCTGTACAACACTAGAATCGCCTTAGCTTTGGCCAGTAAAAGCACCTGTGGCAAAAGGCTTGTCATGTTCTTGATTCAGTCTTGGGTGGGGAAATCGTGCGTAGAAACTTTGCGTTCGGTCTAGGAACCCGTTGGACTCGCGTGAATTAAATTTTCGCGGCTAAGTTCCGAGAACCCACAGACTACGATATTTGTCAGATGACCGTGCTGTGCGAGAAATAATTCTGAGTCTACGTTCGTTCATCCGACTAGGAGAGTTGGTATTACATTGTTAGAACCTGACGTATTCAAGAGGCAGTATTCAACAGTGGTGACGAAGTATTCGAACCCATGGCAGTTACATATAATGAGTTTAAATTACTTTTGGAGCACCAGATTGCTTTAATGACTGCTTTAACGGAAAAACTCTCCAGTTCTTCCCTTCAATCAGGTTCCACGGGCAGCACTCCTTCGGTTGACAATATCTGCAGCAGCATCTCTGAATTCCTGTATGACCCTGGCGTTCAAATAACCTTCGAGTCCTGGTATAAGCGGTACGAGAATCTGTTAACCGTTGACCTGGTTTTCCTGGCTGACGCGTGGAAGATCCGGCTGCTTCTCGACTCGCGTGAATGAAATTTTGGCGGCTAAGTTCCGAGAACCCACAGACTTCGAGATTTGTCAGATGACCGTGCTGTGCGAGAAATAATTCTGAGTCTACGTTCGTTCATCCGACTAGGAGAATTGGTATTACATTGTTAGAACCTGACGTATTCAAGAGGCAGTATTCAACACTATAATAAGTTGATATATACAGTGCCGTCCGAACTTTTGGCGAAAAGCAACAATGTGCCGTTCATACCGTTATCAGAGCGGAAACCAGCCAGGTGGATGCAAATTTGCGATCGAAGATTAGCTTTAATACACCTAAAGTCTTACGTGTCAACACCAAGTTTGATGAATCAGGTAGACCACAAAGTAGGAATATAGTAGTAATTGCCGTATGATCAGTACACATTCTCAAAAACGTTGCACCCGTTAAATGCCAGTTCAGTTAGTCTGATGGATTTTTGCATAAAAGGCGAAACACCGCTTAGAAAAGATGTCAAACTATTACTTTTGAAGTTTTCCAGAGCGTGCGTCTCGAAAGATGCTAAGTGTATTCCAACCTGTAGAGTATCCCTCGTCAGGACGCGTTTAAGAGTAGGATTAGACAATGAGATCAAAGAATACCGAACAACAAGTACCGGTTTAAAAGCAGCCGCGCGTTAGAGTGGCAAGGCGATCGCTGGGGCGTTCAGTTCCGGATTTCTCTTTCACCGTGACTGCCGACAGCTAAAGAGCATCAGTGCCTACAGAAGGAGCAAAAGTCGCGTTGCAGTTGACTCACACACGTCCTATATCCATAAGGAAAACTGTTGATAGGCGTGTACATGGGAGCGTCGATTGATTCGGAGCAAGTACGTACTCCCTTGATACCCATTATTTTCAACTAGGGTGTAATGTAGTATAAAAAGCACCCGAAGGTGAAAATTAAGTCACAGTTCGCTCCGCCTTGGAACCACTGTTCCAATTAAAGTACGGTAGTGGGAATCGCATAGGAAATATTGCTTAATATTGCTTAATAAGTGATAAGCACTATCCTGGTATTCGTAACCTGGTGCTATAGTAAACGGCTTGTGTTGAACGAGAAGCTACTAGTGTTCGTTGGTGAAAAGGTATTCAAAAAAGTGGTTCGATCAGAAGCGTGTACAATGAGAATCTGTAGCAAATCGAGTCTACCGGCAAAGTAATGTCTAGGAGCGCAGTGGATGGTGCAACTAAAGGAAGATTTCACTAAAAGCATCGTTTCAAAGCACTTATCTTACCATCAGGCATACAGAAATCACAGGGGCAAACTTAGGATCAGTCTTCATGTATAAACATACGATAGTAAAAGGTAACTGAACGATAAGCGTTCCGAACGGATAGTCTAGATTGTCGAAACAACGAGCGCAAGTGAAGATATAGATGAATCTTCTGGTATGTGAGTATGCGTGCCCAAAAGATGTAAATTTCAGCAACATGAGGCTTGTGAAATAATATCGCAATACTCTGCTAGAGCGCAATCAGGGAGAAGAGCCTAGTGTAAATGGACAAATGATTGTAGAGGCAAAGTGTAGAAACACTTGGTTCGGAATGCGATGATAGGGAACGGGTAACAAACTTCGGCATATTAATTTACACACACACACACACACACACACACAAAGTCGCACACTGGGTTTGGAGAAAAGTCCAGACAAGATCGATAGTAGAGGTTGAAAGGATGTGGGCACATTTGAGCAACTTGTTACATTGTTCCGCCTATTTGCTACCGGTAATAACGCAGTGTCAAAAGGGCCAACCACAACAAAAAAGACATCTACCTCTTCCACACCAAAGACCGGGGATGATCCTAATGATCCTTTTCAAGTGCACAACTAATCCTCAAGATTGGTTCACAATCACCAAGTAATAAATCCAGTAGAAACAATTGTACAGAATGTAGCATGCCGGAAACAGAAAACGGCTGTAATGGTCGATCTCCGACTCGACCAATCCGGGTGGCCGACGAGGCTTCGATTTGTCCTTGTGGTCATCAATCATTTGGCTGGTGAGCAACAATTCCATTTCTTCACAAAACTCTAACTGACCACGAGAAAGGCCTTGAGCATTTTGTAGCTGTGACAGCTGTTGCTGTTGACACACTGCACACCAACGTGTCAGTTCTTCGTGCACGATGGACCGAACGTCTTCGTGCCAAGATTCCGATTGTTTGCGTCGTAGCACCGTCAGTGCGACCGCGTATTCAACTAGAACGCCAATAACAAATATAATGGAGAATATCATCCAGACATCGGTTGCCTTGATGTAAGACACGCGAGGGAGTGTGGAGGAAACGCTGATGGCTTGTGTGAGAATACCAAGCAGGCTGAGTAACCCGAGAGGCACTCGTGCAGGAGCAGAGTCCACATTGACCCAAAAGCTAAGCCAAGAGACCATGATAATGAGGATGTTTGGCACATATGTGGTGACCAAATAGGATCCCAGTTGGCGCTGAAGTTCAAATGTGGCGAGCAAACAGGTGTACTGACCGGTTGAAGTGGAATAGTTGGCCGAACAATCCTCTGCCTCAAACGCCTCGGGCGTTTCGAATTCGGATAACTGCAGATTGCTGGAAATTTCCATGGGGTTGTCTGCGCTCCAAACAAATTTCAGTTCATTCAAAGTGTAACCGTAGCTTCCGAAATTCATGTGGCAACGTTGAGTGTCCATAGGAAATGTTTGCAAATGCATTTGACAGGAAAATCGCATGGTAATCTTTTGACTATATAGTACATTCCCATTGGGTGCAACACGGAGCAAGTAATTTGGCAGAGTTAATTTGTGAAGGTATCCATCTTTGCCGTTGCGGAAAAACAAGTCGGGCAACCAGAGCTGTTCTTTCAATTTGGGTGAGACCAAATTTTCGGTGTAGTTCCGAAACGCCGGAACTTCCTCCCATGACAAGCGACGATCCCGCCAAGTCTGACGCAAAAGCGCATCTACATTGTAATCCATTGTGCGGACATCGATGGAGAAAATGGCCAACACCTTCATGTTCACAGTGACTACAGTGGCATTGCCGCCCTCCGGTGGACGTTCATAGCTCCGGTATTTTGATAGAATCATTTGAACGATTTGATCCCTTATGGAAGGACTGGTGGTGGTGGGCGTGGTGGTTGCGGCAGTGGTGTTTTCTCGACTCCCAAAAGCGTCGTTCCTCATAGGAGGTTGGACTACTCGAGAGGGTTGCATGTGTGGAGGTACAACATCTGGTCTAGTCTGTGTGTAGCTCATAGCAGGATCCGGCTGACCCCGACGGAGCGCCATTAATTCGGGGTCCCCGTAAGCATAGACACTAGACAGGCCAGGAGTAGACGGGAATGGCGGTTGGACTGAATTTCCCGATGGCTTTCTGTGATGCTGCTCGTATCCTAACTGCTGACCGGAATTTTGGGGCCTGTAAAATGTGGGTTTAGTCGGGGAATTGGACGAAAGCCCGCTTGATCTGCACAAAAGTTGCGTGATAATCAACAATACTAGCCACAAGAATATCATGTTACAAAAATCACACCGGTGGGAGTACGCTATCCACACACGAAAACAAAAGTTACGGCATACATCTCGGTTAAACGTACGTCAGCGAACAAATGGAGAACACCGGTGTCAGAGAGGTAGCCACAAGGGCGCCGCTAAAGCCCACTTGTACCAGTCGCATGGATATGTTTCGTCTATGTAGGGCGTCAAAGCCAGTCAACGTGAGTTACCGTTACACCGAATGGGGACACGCGGGTGTGACCAATGGGAAAACAGTGGGCGCGGGTGAGCTAACACACGTGTAAGGAGACACAGAGACGAGCAAACACGTTGTCAGCCAATGAAATCGATTGAGAGGCTGTGTTGCAATGAAGAAGGAAAACTTGAGATTGGTGTCTGGGTGAATGAGCGCAACCCAACAAACAACTGGATAGATTGACGCGACATAGATGGTTTCCGGTAAAAGCAGACGGAGTGGTGATGATGTCGGTTCGAAAATAGTTTGTCCAGCGTTCAAACTCGACAGAGCTCACTGCACAGGGTGCAGTTCGAAGTTAGCCGGAATGAAATACATAGCGAAACTTCCCAGCGCTTAAGAACTGATGCCTAGGCAGTGTGTGCTTGCATTAATGAAGAATGATTGATTGCACGCGACTAATCCTTTTTATGGAAAAGTGAACAGAGTTAGCAAACGATGCATTAGGACGCCACACTGCTACTAGATCTGTACAGCTGTTTTGAACCGTGTTGTACCGTCCCGAAGAAGATGGAAGTGAATGAACAATGATTTATCACGGGATAAAAGCAAATGCTTGACAAGTCCCGTAGGATGCTTGGGGTGAATACGATGAAATCAAAATATATGTATGACATCTACCGAGCCTCTATCGAAGTGAATGCTTTGATATATAACGTCAGTGTAGAATAAAAAATCGAGTGTAAGCGTGCAGAAATACACGGAGTGCAATGGTCGTCGACATAGGGTGTGAGAAAAGTAAAATATGGCCACTCACTGGGGTCCATTTGATACATAAATCATGTAGAAAAGCATGATTGGTGTAATCCACAACCGAGGAGTTTAGGGAACAAAGTGCTGAGAGCTAAGAGCAACGTCTAATCGTTTTTTGTAAGCGTCCAAGGTAGAGGAGCATACAACTGAGTCTGGGAGTGTGTTCCAGGGTTCGCAAACCCTAAGGGAGAAGTAATTACGTCGACACTCCAGACGGCTACTGGGGTAAGTGTGACAGCGCAGAAAATTTACATTCTTCGTTACTCTTTATGATGGTGCTTCCAATGCCTCTAGGTAGCGCTTAAACCAAGGTTGCCAAGCTTTGAAAGCGTATATAACATGCGGGCGCACGTAGGAATTGTGCATCAATGGGAAGATCGATGGGACAAATCTCCCGAATGCCCTTCGCAGCATGCCGATGTGCTGATTGCCTCCTTTCGCAGCTACCTCAACATGTTTCGAACAGTTGAGGTCACTCTGTACGAGCACACCAAGGTCAAGTTCCTGGGAGCTGGTCTGCAATCCGAGTGCCCCAAGCAAATTTGTGTAGTCATGTCTATGGAGTAATCGCACAGTGTGACACGTGCCTATGCTGAATGGTAGGGTGTTCTGAACTGACCAGTTCGGCACCGTGTTAAGATCGCAAGGGAGCCGTTCGTGGTCGTCCGGTCCTCTGATCATCCGCGAAAAAATTAAATTAAAAGCAATTGATCTCGCCAAATCGTTAATGAACACCAAGAATAGACCAGGTCCAAGCACCGAGCCTTGTGGCACACCACACACCACATCGATTGCATGCGATAATGATTCTTGGACTCTCATCTCCAACCATCTTTCGTGTAGAAAATTGCTAATCCAACTCAGGATTGGCTCCCCAATGCCGTAGTTCCGAAGCTTCTGAAGAAGAATTCGATGGTCTAAACGATTAAACGCTTTTGAGAAGTCCAGATAGATGACATCGACTCCCGTTCCATCATCAACGGTTTCAGTTCAGCTATTAAGTGCAATTAATAGGCTAGTGGTGCATGAACGCTTTTGACGAAAGCCATGTTGCTCTGAGGCTATAAACTTGTGGCTTACCGGATACTATATCAGCGCATCTGCAATGACTGATTCTATAACTTTGGATAGTACAGAAACTAATGTTATTGGACGGTAGTTGATAGCGTCAGTTCGGCTACCTCCTTTATGAATAGGAGTGACGACCCCTCGCTTCCATACTGGTGAAATGTGGTTCTGTTCTAGACATCGCTGGTAGAAAACGGCCAGTGGTTCTGCTAGATCATTAGCTACCGCCTGCAGAGCCTTCGGTCGGAGATTGTCGACTCCACGAGAACTGTGGATACACAAGGATAACAACTTTTTTCAACACAGCTTCCGCAGTGAAGATGATGTTGTCTAAACGACGGTGGGGTAATAGAAACGAGGAGAATATGTGGGTTCGTTACTTGCTGGAAAGTTTGGGAGCAATGAAGCCGTAGGAGATCGGCTGCTTCCATCGCTGACCGCGTGAATCCATCAGCCGCGACTAGTGCTGGAACCTCCCGCTTCACCTATCGAAGGCCGTTAACGTGCCTGTACAGGAGTTTGCGGTTCGTGCAGAATCGCTTCATTAACTCCTGCTGATGCATGACCTTGTCTTCGCGGATCAAATTCACACAGAATTTACGATGTCATGTATGAAGTCCTGGTTTCGTCATCTGGGCAGTCTATTGTGAGCTCCAATGCCAAGTCCCTCAGGGACATACAATCGCGTGTTCTGCTCCTCAGAAATGACTTATGCTTGTTTTTGGGTTGGAAATACTTCTGTTCCGATGCGTGCGCTACCAGTGTACTAAAGGTCCTTGTGAACGTTTTCAAGGCAACATCTGAGGGACATTCGGTTAAGGAAATTTAAGATGCATTCTTAACAAGCGTAGATAACAGGTTATAGTAGGTGGCAGTATGCAGTTTATCATCCTCCTTTTCTGGAGATTAAATAAAGCATACATAGTCAAAGAATATGGTCGAAGATTAGAGCAACATGGTTACTATGACCAAGTGGTGTGCTTGTAACTATCCCGTCAACCATGAGTTCTTCGTTAGTGAGCACAAGATCCAGTATCGATGGCTTGTTAGCAGTTCGAAATCTGGTGGGAGAGGTTGCGTGGTTGTACAGAGGGTGGCTAGCAATCAGCTCTTGCTAAGAGGCTTTAAACAGTGCACCATCGGTTGCTGCCATTTCCATGTCGTGCACATTGAAATCTCCAGCGATAAGAATGTGGGTGTAGGAATTGTTCAAAGCATACTGAGACTGTATTTAAGAGCAAGTAGAAAGGTTTCTGTACAACTCTATCGAATTACGAAAAATCAAAAACATTTAGTTGTGAATCATCAGCAGTTGTGTCTGGTCCGTTAATCGTTTATCCTTGTTCGGTTAGGAATTTGTACTAGTGTCATTATTTCCTGGCATACAATGTCTTCTTTTGGCATTGTATGTGCATCGTTTCACAAAAGCACAGTTTTCCGAAATAATCGTCGATACGGGTTTGAAAACACTTCACAGAATCGGCCTCTATTAACCCTTCGGGTAGTGCATTCCATAAGTTTACGATTCTTCGTTCGATACAAAGCTGATGTGATACTTTGTTCATGTTGGGGACCCTGAGTTTGTAACGGTGTCCTCGGGTGTTACAGGGTTCTCGCAGGTGAAATATTGGCCGAAGTATGGGGAAGTGATTTAAGTGTAGCACTCGATGGGTCATAATAAGGTCAATTCTTAATCGGCGATAGGATAGTGTGTAGAGTCCGAGTTTTTCACGTTTCTCATACGGAAGCTTTTGTAGACTCGTTATCATTCTAGTTGCGATATGCTGTATTTTCTCCAGCTTTTCAGTTTCCCATTGGGTTGTCGGATGGTAAGCTGGGACACCGTATTCAAGGATTGGTCTAATGAGCGAGGTGGATAGACGAGGGACGGTTTCTTCGGACCATGTGGAGAAACTGCGTCTTAATGCCCAGAGCATACGAAGTCCCGCACGGTACAGTTTCTCTGTATTTTCTAGTGATCTCATATCATGTCATGAGAGAACTCCTAAGTCTCTGACAGATGTGTTGGGATGGAGCAACTGGTCGTCCAAGGTGTATGATCGAGTGGCTGGACCTCTGGTGATACTGATGAACTCCGACTTGCTTGCGTTAAGAGGGAGTTGCATTTCAGTGGACCACGTTGACAGTCGCTCTAAGCCATGCTGGAGGCGAGTGCAGTCGTCCTGGTTCTCAATGATCCTCCAGATTTTCAAATCATCTGCAACCAGGGCACATGGTGACTGGAGCTGGTGAGGAAGATCGTTGATATGAATAAGAAATAATACTGGCCCAAGTACAGTTCCTTGAGGCACGCCACTAGTCGATGGGAACCAGTCTGTCAGGTAGTCATTGACCTGTACTCTAAACTTTCGTCCCACAATAAACTCGTGTAACCACTGAAGTAATGTGCCACCGATTCCGTATGTCCTCAGTTTACCAAGAAGTACCTCGTGGTTCACTCTGTCAAACGCCTTACTAAAGTCGATGTACACCACGTCAACATCCTTCCGTTCGTTGAGAGCTCGTACACAATGCTGGTTTGCGTACATCAAGTTGGTGTTGCAGGATCGCCCTTTCGTAAAGCCGTGTTGCTCTGGCGTCAATACGTCCATCGATTCGAAGAACGACAGCAGACACTTTTGCACAACCTTCTCGAGCACTTTCGATAATACTGAAGTCAAACAGATCGGTTTATAGTTCTCTCGTTTACTCGGATCACCACTCTTGGGAAGCGGTCTCACTATCAAGCATTTACAGTCGTTCGGGACACATCCACTAGAGTAGGTTTGTCACGACTGGTGAGATGATAATCGATAGGGACTTGAGTATTAATGGGTGAAGTCCGTCTGGTCCGGGGGGCTTTGCACCATCGAGGTTGACGTGGTTCAGTTTGGAGTCCATTTTCTACATAGAGTTGGCTGGTCGCTAAATTACGGCTAGTGGA